GGAGGATAGCACAATGATGACTGTTGCATGTTAGCTTGTAATTTTTAAATGATTGTTAAAATATATTTAGATTATTTATTTCTAAATATAAATTACTGTGATTTTCTTAATTTGTTTACTCAAACAAATTCTTTGGACCATATTAAGTACTGTTTTCATTAATATCATGTCCAGTTATTCCAATTATTATATATTTAAATTCACTAAATAGCTATAGTTTTTCATCAGAAGCTGGTTATTCATCCCAGTTACAATAAATTTCAGTAATCCCAGCCCTTTATTATATTATTTTCTAACTCAGAAATGATGAAAACCTGACCTTTAAAAGATTACAGATAAATTAAAATATTGTTTAAAGGCAGATTATTGTGCATATTATAATGTTTTTGTTTCTAGGATACTTTTTTCAATAATCTCCTATAGCTTTGACTTTACAATGAATTATTTAAATTTTGCTAATTTGGCTAAGATTACTGTAATTATTTTTTAGGTTTGCTATCAAAAAGATGTAGTTGAGAAGTGACTGAATGGAAAATTCAAAGAACTTGGTGTAAGGGATATTTATTTCATTGGAGTTTTCTTGAATATAATCAGTAGAAGTGTTGGACATAGATTCCAATACAATAAAATTTAATTTTTTAGCAATAAGCATTAGATTTTTTATTTATAGATTGAAATAATTTGTATTTTGTTATTTATTAAAATTTATAATAGCTATTTCTTCTTTTGTTCTTATAGTTTTTTGCCATGCTATTTATGATATATTGATAATAAAATATGTTTTCATTAATTGATATGTGAGTTTCTCTTTTGATGAATTCATTTTTTAAGTAATTTTAAAATAATAAAAATTTTAAATTTCAAATTTGTATATAGTTATCTAATTCAAATACTTGTTTGCATCAGTCAGCTGAAACATTCAGTAAACTTCTTGGAGAAATGATCAGAACTCAATTATATTTCTCTATATTTAAGGCAAATATAGAAAGCAAAGAATATGATTTTAAGAAACCTTTTGAACCTGCCTAGTTGATCTGAATCATTTCTTTTTAATCATGAATAAAAATGAAATGAGGATTGATATCTTTTTAAAAGAATATGTTTTATTGTAGAGAGAGAATTTAATAATATAATGGAATGTATTGCTTCACTCACTAAATAGTAAGGAAAAAATGCAAAGAAAAGTAAGCAATATAGTAATAACTACTATTTGCTCCTTCTTCTTTCCCTCTTTTCCCACAATACAGTGAAATAAATGATCATTTTTTTATTTTGTTGTTTCAATACATGATGGTAATGGATCTTAATCTAGTAAGGATCTCCTTGTCCTTACTTATTGAATTGTTAATAACAGAATAAGTGATGTATCAATTTTTTAGCTTTTTTATTTTCTGTCTTTTTTGCATTGATTATAAACAATATTAATTTATCATGAGCAAATCATGATATGACTAGTATTTCTATATTATAATTTTTTTTAAAAAAATTAACTTATATGTTATGCTGAAATATTGATATTAATATATATAAACATATATATATTTAGAAGCAATTATTATTAAATTTTCTTGAGCCCAGTGCTCTCTTTTACCAAAAAGGAATTCTGATTTTAGCTGATTTATAATATAGGATGCAATAGGACAGTGGATTTTACTGATTTTTAGCTGATCTATAGTATATGAATCATCATTAGTACAAAGATTCTTTTTTATTTGACTAGTGAATGTTGAGTTAAATATTTTTTATTAAGAAAACATTAAATTTATTCAAATTTAGTTTCCTTTGAAAAATTGTAAAAATTTAAGTTTGATTTTCTTTTGAATTTTTTTTTGCATTATTCAAAAATATCAAAATCTTATTTGCCAAGTAAAAGTTGCTTTCTTCAGCTCTAGAATATCATCTGATCTCTGTTCTGACTTTGCCTTTTCCAGGTTAATTTCTAACTAAATTAATTGCTTTGACATCTTTCCACTTGTGCTTGATGCTTAATTGGAAATGTGTAAAATACAAAAATTTGACATGGTTTTGTTGAAGAGTTATTTGGATAAAATCCTTGTACTTTAAATAAATTTATCCTTCAAGTTTCTTTAGTTAAACCAATATTTCTATGGTACTTTGACCATTCTCAACCAATATAGTTTCATCAGAGTCTAAAACACCTATATTGGTATTGGTATCCTTGATTTTAAATATTTAATAGTAGTACTATATAAAGTGATTTCTTCAGCTATATATTAGTAAAATAAGTATTTTGCTTGTTAATGAGTAAATATCTTTGCTTCCTTTTAAATTTTTATTTTGATCAAAAATATCAGATGAAATTTGTGCATTATAAATTGAGTCTTCTATATTTTAAATAAAATAACTATGCTCTAAATTAATAATTTTTTTGTAAAATATTTTAAAAATAAAATGTCTGCATTACTTGTATTGTTTTTATTTTTTAACTAATATATTACCACATCATGAGTGATGATAACTATAATCTTTAATGTAAATTCACTTTAGAAAAATATTTTATGATCTTTATATAAAATTGTTAATTATTTGTTGATTCTTGAATAATTATAATAATATAAAATTGTTAATTATTTGCCATTACATTTAAAATATTAAAAAATTAATTATAATTTAGTGTTGTTGCTGCCATCATTCTATTCTGTTTATAATAAAATAAATGCACATTTGATTATTTTTCACAAAATTTATTACCATTTTGTTTGTTAGAAAATAGTTTCTTTTCATAATAATTTTAATATGACTAATATCTAACTCTATTTTTTATTTTCGATATATAAGTAATTATTATTATTTGTACTTTTGGATATTATGAATTTTTTATTTTTATTTTGAATTTTAATTCTATGATTTCATAAGTGAACATCCAAAATGGTACTGAGTAACTTCAAATACAAGAGAGATGTATATATTCTATAAAAATCTCAGGCTTATATCTTTAAAATTAAATGAACAATTTTTATTTAATTAATTCACTATCCAAAATTTAATCACTTGTTATTCTCTTAATTTTAATGATATAAGTTAGGTCATTTCGCAGAAGAAGTAACTTCTTCTTATCTTTGAGGCTACTTAGTACTATTTTTAATATTTACTTATTAAGATAAAAGTTTTATATGTTGCAATGATGACAAATTATTCCAATTTGTAAAGTTACACAATAAACAAAGATTATCAAAGGATGTGGCACTATGGTTATGCCCCTTTACTAAAAATTTTTTATCTGCTACACTAATTATATTACTGTAATAATGATAATATTTTGCATCGAATTTATGCAGAATGGAAATACAAACACAGGCCGAAATATAAGTTTTCAACCTGTGAAAGTTTTTATCAACTTTTAAAGTTATGAGATACTCGCATATTTATTTTTTTGGTGATCATTAGTATTTTACTGAATTTATGCAGAATGGAAATACAAACACAGGTCAAAATATAGTTTTTTAACCTGTAAAAGAGTTTAATCAATTTTTAAATTACAAGATACACATATTTATTTTTTTAGTGATCATTTGGATGATTTATATATCAGACAAAAAATTTTTAGATAATCGTTTTACAGTATAATGTTACGTAAAAAATATTCATTATTTGTTTTTATAAAAATATGATAATATAAAAATCAGAATTAATTTACCATCGTCACAACATATAAAACTTTATATTTTAATAAATAAATATCAAAAAATAATACTAAGTAACTTCAATAATAAGAATGAATTACATCTCTTGTAAAAATTTCAAAACTATATAAATAAAATTGAGTGAATAATTATAGATTAAATTTGAATGGATTTTAAATAACAATTAATTACTCAATTTTCATGATATTGTCATATCTGTGCAGTGTATTACACAAATCAGTCTCGGAGTTTGTATTACACAAACTTAATTAACAATACACTCTATCTGCCAGTAGGTCAAGCAACCCATTGATCTAAACTTTGCTTTCTCAAAATAGAAAATAAAATTTAATAAAATATCACAATAATTCTCAAATTAATCTGAATATTTAACAATATTTTACAATATCACAATACAAAAAATAAGTTTGTTAAAATATAAAAGGATACAATTTAAAAGTAAAGTATCATCTAAACAAACGGAAATATCATGATGAAAATGTGTCTATTTTAACATTCCTAAATGAAGTTTATTTCTATCTAATATTCAAAATTGTCTATTTCTTATCTCTGTTCTCTTCTTTTATTCCTACTAACAAACACTTATTTCATTTATACTTTTCACTTTTATTGACACTTATTGTCATCCTTTGTGCTTCGTCCTTTATCTTTTGTGTTATCCTTCATCTTTGTGTGTCATCCTTCATCTTTGTGTATTATCTTTCAAATGGCTACACAAATTATCATCTAAGCAATCATACAATCATTTTAGTATCACTATTTATTATCTCCCATGATAATTCACATGATTACCAATTTACACTGCCACAATATAAGCTTGAAATTTTTACAAAAGAGGTTATCAACACCATTTTTTAAAGTAAAAACGTTTTATATTCTGACAATAATTAATGATTTTATATATAATTATGTTATTATTTTTTAACATAACATTATAATATATAGTATATTATATATAAAATCATTAATTATAAAAGATTATTTATTATAAAACTTTTATTTCATATGTGAATATCAAAAATTATAATTAACATTAAAGATGAGAAGAATATACATCTTCCATAAAAATTTCAGGCAAATTGAGCAAAAGATTGTCATCGTAATAATTCATCCTTTTAAAATTTAACTGCTCATCATTCTCTTAATTTTAAGGATATAGGTCTCTCCTTTTTATGGAAGATGAACTTTATTCTTATCTTTGAGTTTACTTGTACTATTTTTAACATTTATTTATAAAAATAAAAGTTTTATATGCTGCAACTATGATGAACAATTTCATTTTATAAAGTTACACAATAAATGAATATCGTCGAGGGAACAAATTGATCATATCACTCATAATTTTAAAGCTTGATGCAGCCTGGCACTATGGTTATCACCAAGTTCATATGATTTTCTAGGATATATCCCGTTTTCTTTTGTCCATGAATCAATATCTGCTAATTTAGGATCTATCAAATTTTCTGATTCTGTGTGCATAAATAGCATATCCTGTCTGCATGGCCAAAGCAAATCTGATAGTCATAGTTCCTTTACTAAATTTTTTTGCAAATCATGAAAGTTTCACATTTGTCAATGTTGTGATGTTAACAAAAAAAAATAACACTTTCCTAAACAAAATAAAAATACGAAAAGTCATAATTTCTACTAAGAAAGGAAATTTGCAAAAATCATTATAAGTGGCATCAAAAAAGTCCTAAATATCCACAGGTCTATGGGAGATTTAACTGGGACTAGACAAAACCTAAATATGATAGAAAAAAAATGTTTCAACCAATGCACAGATTGTACTGGTCCTGCACAATATCACATGTTGTGCAGTTGATATCAAAATATATTATTATTTTTGAGATATATAAAAGAATGCACATATATGAGTTTATATATAGTGAAGGAATATAAATAGCACTTATTTTCAATTAATTATCTCATTCATTTATTACTAATTATAAAAGTCAAAAAAGAAAAGTCAACAATGATTACACAGTTTATAAACTGTATAAACACAAATAATAAATAATTATTAATATTTAGATTTATTTAAATATGATTACATACTGGACAGCTTTAATTTAAATGAAAATTAAAATACAATAAAATAAATGAGTAAATAAAATAATAAATAATTCTGTATCATATAATACAGTATGTTTAAAAATAAAAAATAAGAATTTAATTTTAACCAATTATTCAATTGATTAAATTTACATTCCATTTCTTAAGTTTCATTTTCTTCATCTTCAACTATGCAAATTTAAATATTGTATTGTTAATAAACTAAATATATCAGAAAAAATAATCAAAGAAATAAATTTACCAATTATATTATTAGGTATTGAAAAAAATTGCTGCCTTGAATCTATTAAAATCCAATTCTTTTTTTTTAAAAAAAAAATATATATTTATTTATACTTACTAGATGTATCACATTCAGGAATTGATATGAGTCCAGTCGTTGTTATAGGTCTGCTTGTATATATTGCTTCAGGGTGTATTTCATTTGGATGAAATCAAATAAAATTATTGTTTCTGTAATTTGCTGTTTCAACTTGTTTTATTATTTCTCCAAGTTTGCATACCAATTCACATGCAGTTGGACGATTAAGTGGTTTAAAATTCCAGCATTTTTCTATCATCTCTTTGAGGAGTTGAGGAATTTCACATTTAATTTCAGGTTTAAGACCTTTGCAAATGTCCATTACAAGATTTGCGTCATGTAGATATTATGGGTAACTAGTTAGAACTTCCAAAATAACCATACCAAAAGAATAAATGTCAGATGCTTGAGTGTATTTTCCTCTGCTCAATTTCTTGGGTGCCACATATGGAATTACACCATAAATTATTTCTGGATCATTTTCTGTAACTGGTCTGCATAGTCCAAAATCAGTACTATGACATAAAGTTAGAGTTTGATTAACTATATTACCGGAATGAAAATCTTTATGCATTAAGCCGATTTTATGGATATTGGTAAGCCCATATGCAATATTGATTAAAATCTTAGATTTTTTCATCCAAGTTAATTCTTCAAAATTGTCATTCAACAGTTTTCGAAGATTACCATATTTCGCATAATTCATAACCATCATATATTCATTTTTTTTTGTATTTTTAGTGATTCCATATATAGCAATTGCATTTTTACCTCGAAATTTAAGTTGATTTTTAATCTAAAATATTTATTATTAACAAAATAAACAAAAATTATAACATAAAAAAATAATGTCAACATAAAATATTTACCTCTTGTAGAAATTGATTTTTATTTGTGGAATTATCAAGACTTTTTAAGCAAACAACTTGATTTAAGGCTCTATTCCAGTTTTTTGCTTCATAATTCCATGATAAAATATGTCCATCCAGCCATTTTGCTTAGTATACTGTGCTAAAACCTCCTTTAGCAAGGTATGTCTATTTGCACTTTGTTGTATTTGTTGAACAAATTCATCAATTTCTCTATCTTCACTTGTCCATTGATCAAATTCATTTTGAAATCGTTTGACATTGCATGGATGGCACCAATTTCTTTCAGTATTATCTTGATGACACTCACTACACATTCCAAGAACACTAAAAATATTATTGATAATTAATTAAATAATTATTATTTGACATTGGAATATTGATTAGTTCATAATTTATTAGAGAAATGTGATATGATATTGAAATATTTGACTCAATAATATGAACCTAAATACTCACTCGCTGTAATATAATTTATATTTATTAGTTTAAAATGATGAAAAAATTGTCATATGATATTGAAACATCGATTTTGATAATTATGAATCTAAATACTCACTTGCTGTAATAAAATTAATATTGATTAGTTCGTAATTGATTAGATGATTTTATATTATTTAAACATGACATGATATCAATAATTATGAATCAAAATACTCACAAACTGTAATAAAAATTTTTTTAATTGGTGTAAACATTAATTACAATAATTATAAATCTAAATACTCACGCTCTGTAATATAATTAATATATTTGATTAGAGAATTATTATAGTATATTGAAACCTTGGTTTCAATAATTTAATCTAAATACTCACTTGCTGTAATATAAATTATATTAATTATTGAATAGAGAATTGTTATATGATAGATATTAAGCATTAATTTCAATAATTATGAATCTAAACACTCACTCCCTGTAATATAATTTATGCTGATTAGGGATTATTATGATATTGAAACATTCATTTTAATAATTATGAATCTAAATACTCACTTGCTGTATTTATATTTGTCAGTTATAAATGTTTAGAGGATTGTTATATGATATTGAACAGTAATTTCAATAATTTTGACTCTAAATACTCACAGACTGTAATATAATTTAGATTGATTAGTTTATAATTGACTAAGAGTTATTATATATTGAAAAATTAATTATAAATCCAATACTCACTAGCTTTAATATAATTTATATTGATTAGTTTTAATCGATTAGATTAGTGAATTATTACATGATATTGAAACATTGGTTTCACTAATTATGAATCTTAATACTCACAAACTGTAATATATTTATATTAATTAGTTTATTATTGATTAGAGATATTGATTTCAACAATTATGAATCTAAATATAATATAATTTATATGGATTATTTTATAATTGTTAGAATTGTTACATAAAATAAAACATTGATTCCAATAATTATGAATCTAAATACTCACGCCCTGCAATATAATTTAGATTAAATTAGTTTATGATAGATTAGAGAATTATTATATGATATTAAAATATTGATTTCAATAATTATTCTAACTTCTCACTTGCTGTAATATCATTTAGATTGATTAGATAATTGTTATATAAAATGAATAATTGATTTCAATAATACTGAATCTAAATACTCACAGACTGTAATATAATTTATATTGATTAGTTTATAATTGATAATTATTATATGATATTAACTATTGATTTCAATTATTAAGAATCTAAATACTCACTTGCTGTAATATAATTTAGATTGATTAGTGAATTGTTAAATGACATTTGAACATTGGCGCTCACGCCCTGTAATATAATTAAGATAGATTAGTTTATGATTGATTAGATTAGAAAATAGTTATATGATATTGAAAAACATTAGTTTCATTAATTATGAATCTGAGTACTCACAAACTGTAAAATAATTTAAATTGATCATCGATTAGAGAATTGTTATATGATATCAAAATATTAATTTATATAATTATGAATCTGAATACTCACGCTCTGTGATATAATTTATATTAATTAGTATATAATTGATAGAAATATTATATGATATTGAAACATCGATTTCAATAATTTGATCTGAATACTCACTCTCTGTAATAAAATTCAGATTGATTATTATAATGATTAGAGAATTGTTATATTATATCAAAACATTGGTTGCAATAGTTATGAGTCTAAATAATCACTTGCTGTAATATAATATAGATTGGTTAGCTTATTATTAATTAGAGAAATTTCAATAATAATGAATCTAAGTACTCACTCCCTGTAATATATATTGGTTAATAATTGATTAGAGAATTGTGATGTTGGAACATTGATCTCAATAATAATTATGGACTAATACCCACTTTCTATAATATAATTTAGATTGATTAGTTTATAATTGGTTAGAGAGTTGTTATATGATATTGAAACATTGGTTTCAATAATTATGAATCAATACTCACTCCCTGTAATATAATTTATAATTGATTAGAGAATTGTCATATGATATCGAAACATTGATTTTAAAAATTATGAATCCACATACTCACGCCCTGTAATATAATTCAGATTGATTAGAGTATAATTGGTTAGAGAATTGTTATATGAAATTAAGATATTAATTTCAATGATTGTGAATCTAAACTAAATACTCACTTACTGTAATATAATTTATATTGATTAGTTTATATTGATCAGAGATTTTGTCAAATAATATTGAGACATTGATTTCAAAAATATGATTCGAACTACTCACGCCCTGTAATATAAGTTGTATTGATTAACAAATTTTTCTTGAGATCAAAACATGATATGAATCTAAATACTCACAGACTGCAAAATAATTTGGATTGATTAGTTTATAAATTGTTTGACATTGATTTCAATAATTATGAATCTTAATACTCACGCCCTGAAATATAATTTAGATTGATTAGTTTGTGATTGATCAAGACATTGATTTCATTAATTATGACTCTAAATACTCACTCACTGTAATGTAATTAGATTGATTAGTTTATATTTGATTAGATAATTATTATATGATATTAAACCATTGATTTCAATAATTATGAATCTAAATACTCACTCACATATAAATTATATTAATAATTGATAAGAGAATTTTTATACATCAGGAAAATTTTTGAGCGTAATATTACGTAATATTACACCATTTACAAAAAAAATCTGTTTTTTTGATTTCGTTCACGATTTCGGATTTTTACTAAAGTATTTCTAAGATGAATCGAAAGCACTGATT